GTATGGACCCCTAATATGGACCCTTAGGCCTTTCTATTGACCCTTAAGGGTACATATAGGGTATATAGTAGGTATACAAGGATCCCACCCTTAAGGGCCCATAACAGGGGCCCATGGTTTCAGACTTAGAAAATCGCTCCAGTAAGCAAAAGGGGTCCCTATCTACTACTGCCTGGGTGAAACTCCGAGCCAAGAGGCTCCGTTTAGGGTTTAGGGTTTAGGGTTGGGTTTATGGTTTATATACTGCGATTTATAGAATTCGGTCCCCGAAATGATAGTAGGGATGGTCTTTTGGGGCATACTTCCATAATGGTAGTGTATATGGACCCTCTGGGTAAGCAATATAGCTGACTTTACAATATGCGGTTCCGACTATGAATTATAAGGCATGCGCCTTACGAGGTTTCTGGACTCCGTGCGAAGCGGTTCCTTGCACTGGAAGTTTCGGGTTTTGGAATTCCCGGCTTAGTCAACAGTACCGTGTTGCATTTAAGAACATTTTGGGAGTTTGGGGCCCGTTCTGTGGAAACGATAGGCACCCCCCACAGAACAGGGCTTCGGGGTTAAGGATCAGGGTATAGGGGTTGGGGCTACAAAGACTGAGCATACAAACAAACAAAGAAACAAACAAACAAACATACATACATACATACATGGTACATACCCACATATACACATATTTTAGATGTATATGTATCTATACACACATACAACATTATGCAGATCAAACTCTCTTCCCTAAAACGTTACACCCAAACACCGCAATGCTACCATCTAAGGATCCAAGTACATATTATTGGCATACTCCCAACATGCAAAAATATGGCAAACTACTGAAACTACGGTCCTGAACCCAACTACCCAATCAGTGGGTTCTTTGGACGCTAAGGGCTGCGAAGAAGCCTAACAACCACTCGTCCCTACGCCCTCTTGGGTTTTTGCTTGGGGTGACCATAGCCTTGACCCTAAACCCTAAAACCCCTAAACTCCCAGAACCACAAAGCCCTTCAGACTGCGTAGAGGGGGTGGAAATCATGGCTCTTCGGCTTCAATCCGAAAGGGTCCTAAGTACCCTTAAAGGGGATACTTACCCAAACCGTAATAAGTAGTCCCACCATAGAAACCCTACTTTCTGATGTGCATGTACTTAGGGCCATTGGGGAAGTCGCCAATTAAAACTCACCAAATACCAAGCGTAATTTTGGGGGCCTTAATAATTAGAACAGGATTTTGGGGCCCATTCATTATACTATACTTATAACAAGGAACCCCCAACATAGTTGGGAGCTAGAATTAGGGGGACCCTTGGGGATATAGACCCTCTCAATAAGGTCCCTTTTAAGAGAGCCAAAAGCAGGGTTCAGAAGGGGTACCCTTTACGGGGTACCCCTAACCCTAAACCCTAAACCCTAAACCCTAAACCCTAAACCCCTAAACCCTTGAGGCTTCTGTATTACTGCCACACCAGCGAACGAACTCCCGCAAGCCTCACAGGGCCGGTCGGACTTCACCTGCCTGTCAGCGGTTTGGGGTGTCGGGTTTTGGGGTTTAGGGTTTAGGGTTTAGGGTCGGGTTTTGGGGTTTGGGGTTTAGGGTTTAGGGTCGGGTTTCGGGGTTTAGGGCTTTGGGTTTAGGGGTTTCGGATTTTTCTGATGTAAGGGCCTGGGATTTGTGGTTTGTCCTGGGTTTCGGGTTAAAAACCTTGGGGCCTAAGGAAAGCTGCAAGCTGAAAGACGGAGTGCGACTCAGCCGTTTAAGACATAGTATGAGCTGTTGTTCTTTGGGCTCCGTTCCGGTTCAACCTGTCGTGAAGCGAAGTAAATCCTAAAAACCCAGGAAGACATCGGCTGTGCCAGGCAACAAACCGAGAAATAAGTGAACTTGATATGGGTAGAGTTCTCTAAATTAGGGTCCCTTATAGGGTCCCTTCTATAAGGGTGACGTCTTATTTTAGGGACCTAGAAAGGGACCCTAATTTAGAGAACTACCCATATCTAACTCTCGAGCCTGGAGTCTCGGGTCGATTTACAAAAGGTCTAGGGTTTAGGGTTTAGGGTTTAGGGTTTAGGGTTTAGGGTTTAGGGCTCTAATTACCTTTAGGGGGTAATGGCTGCTAAACTGTAGGTAAAGAGAGTTACAGGTAGGGTTTGGGATTAAGAAGATTTGTCAGAGGCCTCAGGTGCGAAGAATGCAGCAAACAGCTCATCATTCCGAACTACACAGCCGAGGATGCCACGAAATGCCCCGCATTTGATCGGGCTCTATCAATGTGTCCTCGGGGCCGGCTTTGGGTGGAGTAATCTAGAGGCCTTGATAATTACACTTGCTTTTGGGGTATATTACCGTAGAAACACCAAAAAAGAACCCTAAGGACTCGTACGGCAAATTATGCAGGCTTCTATCTTGCGGCGAAACGTGGTTGTGATGTCCAACTTGACTGTCGCCGTTGCTGCAAAGACGTTGCAGTGTTGTGCTTGCTCCCCCTAGGGTAAGGCCTAGGATACAAGTGGCAGGCAGGCTCACAGCGCAGAGGATCGGAGCTGCGGGTTTCTTACTGCTCGTTTTGTACGGCGGCTATAACATCTGTGACAAAGCGTCTCCAAGGTGATTTGTATTTGTAGGGATCTGCAGAGCTTCTGAAGGTAAAGGGTTTAGGGTTCGGGCTCGTGGTGTTTCTGGAGTAGGGAGATTCAAGAACTGGCACGGCATCGGTCTTGCAGGGCTTTGCAGAAACATGGGTTCGTAAGGGTGGGTAGTTCGTAACGTAGGGCTTGTGAACTCATCCTGGCAGGTGAATGCATGGCTCACGCCAGGTTCTGTCCAGTATCATGAAGTAATCTAAACTTAGCCTCAAACTCTACAAGAAACCTTTACACTCTAAGAACCTGACATCCTTAAACCCCGTGGCCTGGGACCTCTTCTGGCGAACTATGCTGTGGCATAGGCTCCTCAACAGCATGCTCCAGGATCCGCATGAGTCTTTGGGCTTTGGATGTAGTGTGTACAAACTGAAGTTTCTGGACTTTGGCCTTTGGTGGATTACCCACCTAACCCCGAAATTTGGGTTTAGGGTTTAAGGTTTAGGGTTTTCATCCCTGAACCAAGGTCTTCAACAGCTCGCGAGCCCTAAGCCTTAATTAGACCCCAAGCACTACACCATCCTAAACACCCTAAACCCTAAACCCTAAACCCTAATCCCTAAACCCTACACCGTACTTCTCAGGAGCCGGCTATGAGGCCGTCTCCGTCCTCATCCTTGGGCACATAATGCCTCAGACGACTCTTCCGCAAAGGCCTACAGGCCCCAACGTGTCGGCTTTCTTGATAGGGCTTAAACATGTGGGGCTTAAACATGTGGGATCATGTGGGGCTTCTTGGTACCTAAACCCCCAAAAGTAGGTAAAAATAATTGGCCCAAAACCCATAAAAAGGGTATTATTCTACATGCTCATGTGGGGCTTCTTGGTACCCTACAACCCTAAAGCCTTAAAACCCTAAGACCCTCGAACTCTAAAACACTAACACCCTAAAGCCCTAAACCCTAAAACTAGGGTTTAGGGTNNGGTCTATGGGGTTCCGTGCCCCGCCCTGAACTTTCACGAGCTTACCATCGCTCAACTCCACGACACGCTGCGAAGGGCGAGTGGGTTTGTAGTCCCACAAACCAAACCAGACCAGGGTTTAGGGGTTTAGGGGGTT